CCATGGACTGCTAAAAGAACTAACAGATCTGTCCTGGAGGAAGTGCAGCCAGAATGCTCCTTGGAAGCAAGAATGGCCAGACTTCGTCTCACCTGCTTTGGTCATGTTGTCAGAAGGGACCATCCCCTGGAGAAGGATAACATGCTGGGTAAAGTGGAGGGTCAGTGAGAGAGGGGAAGGCCCTCAATGAGATGGATTGACACGGTGGCTACAACGATGGGCTCAGGTATAGCAGGGGTCGTGGAGCTGGCGCAGGACCGGGCCGTGTTTTGTTCTGCTGTGCATGGGGTCGCTGAGTCAGAGACAACTCGAAGGCACGTAACAACAACAGCAGCAGCAGCAGCAGCAGCAACAACACACAAGCAACTAGCTCAAAAATCCCAGAAGGGAGGCATCAAAAACCAGAAATGAGTTGAACATATTTAAAAAAATACATCACCTGTGTTTTGGGGTGCCCTGTTGGTGAATGTGCTCTGTCCCTCGCCCTGTGAAGGGGTGAGAGGAGCTGTGGGCAGCCCTCAGATCTGTAGAGGACCCCTTGAGCCCCTTCAGGCCCTCAGACTCGGGAACCCACTTGGATTCCCGCTGGCCAAAGTGTCTCCCTTATCTGAGCAAGGCTGGGGGAGGCTGCCTGCAGTAACCCTGTCTGATGATGCCCAGGGACCCATAGCCTGGAGGCCGAGTGAGGGGTTTGCTTCTGATGATAAGTATACAGGCAGGTCACTCACCTCCCACAACCCTTCTGCAACGAGCATGTGAGCGGAAGCCTCCGTGGTGACCTTGGGGCATTACCTGTAAAGTGGACAGAGCAATCCTTATGTGGCCAGGTTTGGGAACCTTTTGGAGATGATGTATGCAGTGCCCAGCACACAGAAAGCACTCAGCAGCATTTCTGATAACAGTATGCCCTGGGTTACGAACATCTGACCCAGGGACACCTTGTTATGCCATGCAAATTTGTCCTCACTTTGAAAGGACTGAACCAACCCCTAAAACCAAAACCAAACCAAATTCACTTCCATCAAATTGATTCCAACTCGTACCAACCTCCTTTGGGTTTCTGAGGCAGTAAATCCTTACAGAAGTGGATTGCCCAGTCTTCCTTCCATGGAGTGGCTGGTGGGTTTGAACTGCTATCCTTCTGGTTAGCAGTCAAATGCCTTATGCACTACAGCTCCTCGAACCGACCCCTACTTGCAACTAATTCTTCATCACCATCACCATTACCCTCACTTGCTGCACGTGCAGCTTTCAAATCCTTGAAAAGCCTGGAGCCTTTCCTTGCACTAAGTCAGGCTGAAGCAGAACGGCGTCAACCTGGTCCAGCTGACCTACAATTCAAC